TGACTCGGCTATGACTCGACACCCTACCGTCTCCTTTTATCGGTTCGTACCTGATATGACCAATGTTCATCTGTAGGCTCGAAATAATGGGGCCCCGCCTCACCTTCTCCTTGCGCGCAGATCTAGACTCACAGCCTGCTCGTCGGTGAAAGAGGACTCGTCCGCCATGAGTCAGACTGAAACATGAGCTCATCCCGGTGTCTTTCGGGCTGCCAGGCATCAAAAGACGTGAGATGCGAATCGAGGATAATGAGGATCACCCATTGGACGCCAGGAATTCGTTCCACAAGGAACCTATTCTTTCGCGGTGTTCGAATGCCGAGACATGGTGGTATAAGCCCATTGTGGCCTGAGCTTTGTATCGGGTAGACACATCAGCACATGACCGATGCACAGAGTCGACTGAGAGAAGGGCCGAGACGATCTGGACCTTACATTGGCTTATCATCAATGCCACCAGTAGTTATGTGGAAGTGATAGACAGCATGCGATCGCATCGGTACGGGGGAGCTCGAGCAGAGAAAATCAGGGTGTCCTGTTGTACGATACGAGTCAGCAAGGCTTACCACTTTGACGAGATTTTATAACTTACCTGTTCATAAAGTTCGCAGAACGTTCGCTTGAGACGAAACGATCAATGAGCTTCGTGGTCATATCTTACCGACGAGATCACTTACAATTGTCTTCATCAATGCAGTCACCATTCATGCCATTTGACATGATGCTGTATCCACTTCGTCGCACTCTCCGGCTGTCGCTTCGAATAAGCTGCGCTGGGTGCACCGGGCAACTTCTAAGAGCCAAAGGCGCGTGACAAAGTAACTGTGACAGGAAGTTGTACAGTCGCAATGGGATAAGACCTCGCGATGGGGACGGCGAGAGGTTCATACACTCTGCCGTTCATGGTGAGGGCGGTGAAGTTGAGGCAGAAGACGCGATGGATCACGCGTCGTAGTGACGCCTTGGTCTTATCTCCGATGCGGCGATAGAACTCCCAACAGGTATTTTTCACAGTGGCGATGGGCTGCTCCTATGTACAATGGCATGAAAATCAGTAATGATGTTGGTGTTCTGGGGCACAAAAACTCTCACAATAAATGATATAGCGCAGCAGAGGACGCGATAAATCACTCACATTGCTAGGAAGAATGGACATTTCAAGCTTCTATTCAGCGAAGCTCGCAATCGAATATTCGCACCTTTATTTGGTCGCTGCTTTGATTCATACGCTCCAGCTAGGGTATGGTGGGTGGTCTGAAGCGACGGGGCCAAGAACAGGGTGTAGGCAGTGGCTTTGTGTAGAGCACTAACGGGGCTGGGGCCCAGGATGGTTTGTCGGGAGCGCGCAACGAGAGGAGTTCGGATTTGTGAGCTTGGTTTGGGGGATTTGACCGTCGTGGATCGGAACGGTCTTTTGTTTGATCGGAGATTCAGCGTCCTACGTGGGCGCGCACCAGTCGTTGAGCTTTAAATCTTTCTGTCTCGGAAAAGGTTGCTGTATTCTCGAGGACCTCTGGTGCGATGTCAATGTTCACCATCGTTCATTAGCTTATAGATCGGCGACATAACCCATGACTCACATTTTCTGGTGGCCAAGCCTAGGTATGAAGAACGGCAAAGAGTCGCGGCCCTTGCGCTCGTGCATAGTGGTCGAATGTCGGTCTTTGCAATCATATCGTCTTCAGGATCAGTAGGATTCAGACAAGTCAGGCTGAGATTCGCATACCTGCGATGCAGATACTCGCCCTTTCTCTTGGGAATACATACAGAGGCGGTACAATAGATCAGCTCAGTCGGCTGCTGTGGCGGAGACCTCGTCACATGGACAATTGAACCAGCTAATTCAAAACTCGCATCTTTGATCGGCTGGGGTGAATGGCAGTGCATCTGGTGTGGGAATAGAACCTGTATCTCTCACAGGCATTGTCTGGCTTCCTCATCCAAGATGTATAAAATGTTAACACTATGGAACTTCAGTACCGGGTCAATGGGGAAGAACTTATCAAGTAGCTCAGACACAAGCCTGCTCGACTGTGTGTAGTCAAATGAAGAAAGTGTAGGGCAGATTACAGGTGGCAGAGGACGTACTTATAGGCTTCTCGGCTTCTGTCAATTGGAAGCTAGGCAGGCAGCGTTGAAGAACACCTGTAATAATTGAGCCCTGTTGAAACTCACGTCTTCTTTTAACCGCAACTGTTTGCAGCGACATTTTTAATGCGTTAGATGCTCAGCGAGGGAGACGAGCAAGCGTCGTGTTGAGCAAAAGCATGCTGAGTTGGTCAAGAAACGTTGGCTGACTGTTGAATCCTTCACGGCCCTCTTAAATTGAGGCACTGAGTACTATTCAATCCGCAATGAAAGGCTCATATTTCTTGTTCTGATACCTCATCTGTGAACGTTTCAACGTTGAATCACCGGAAAGCGCTTACAATCTCATCTATCGAAATAATGGACTTTTTTCCTAGCCTCGGTTTAGTGTTATGTGGTTGTGTTGAGATGTGGGTCTGTCCCTCTAGACTGCAGAAAGCGAGGTCGTGCTCGACCCGTCAACCCGTTGAAGCTTGGCCACAGGTTGTCAACACTCAATTTCCGAACTTGCGACCATGAAGACGCACCAAAAAAAAAAAAATTTTTTTTTTTTAATTTGAAAATTTTTTTAATGACTACAAGTTCTACAATATATTTGTTCGGATTTCTGAGGCGTTCAACGAAAAGGAAAGAGGTGTCTGATTAAAACATATATCTTCAACAAGCGTTCATTTGGCCCTCAACATCGTGAGGTTTGATCAGTTTCCCCGACCGACTATCCCTATTGTTGAATACACTGTCAACAGCCCCCCGAAAACTGACAAAACTTTTGTCAAAATCTGACTGCATCAATTAACAGTTGTGATAATCGTAAAATTCTCTATGTAGTCGCCTGCGTCTGCGCAGTCTATAAGGGACACTAAGGATCGATGGAAATTGTATTAACCAGACCCGTGACTTTTTCCTGCGGACAAAATGGATGCCCCGAACAGCTCGCCACACCAAGAAAAAGAAGGAGATCAGCAGCCCAGTGAATTGCCCATCCGTGATGAGAAAGACAAATCACAGGAAAATTCTGACCATGTGCCGTTGGTAAGTGAAACGATTCGGCTTCAAACGCTTTTGCTGACCATTGCAGCCCTCCACTTCGCAGCAGGAAGCAGAAACAAGACACACCCTGGCGACCGAGCCGTTTCAACCCATCTTGAAGGTTCTAGCAGACCTCGAGAGCGACGATCCCAAGTTCGGCTTTCCAGCAGCTCGACTTGTCGGACTCTATCGACGCCTATGGGAGTCATGCGTGTCCAAGCACATTGATGGCCAGAAGCTAGAGCAGGAAAACATGGCCTTGAAGGAGGCTGATACGAACCTGAGACAAAAGAGGGACGGTCTTCAGACTCGTCACGACAAGCAGCTAGTCCGGCTGCGCTTTTTTGAGCAGGCATTGGATTTATCCAGGGAGAGGCTGGTTGGCGTACTCGATGACTGGAATCACTCCTCGAGACTCAATCTGGCAGGATTATCGGACAATGCAAGAGAAAGGTGAAAAACTGTCTTTTCGAGGCGATGTGTCCTATTTCGTCATAAAATACTTTAGTTGACCTTTTCGAATTCAGTAGAACTACTGCTTAGAAAGCCTCTTCTATTTCTTAGTGATGCTGTAACAATGATACCTGCAGTTTGAATAGATGGTCTGATCGAGTGGAGTCCAAGCAGTATACGGATCCAAGTTGATGAGCACTTGCCCCAGATTAAACCTGTCACGACAGCGGATAAAAGTAATGATGACACGTATAGGGCCAAGTCTGCCTGAAAAAAAGGCCATCATCTTCGAGAAACCATAAGAAAAGTAGCCGGGTAATCAGGACAAATAGAATTAGCATGATAATTAGTCTTGTATAAACTCTTCAGGGGTCATGGTAAAGGACTTGGCATCCATGCTCCACAGTGGGAATAAGGCGGAGGTGGCAATATGTAGGTTGTCGATTACGCGGCCGCGCAGTTAGAGGTCTGGTGGGCTTTCAAGGTCCTTCACGCCGAGATGATTGACTTATATACAACTTAAGAGGATTGCAAGATTGAAATGCTTCTGTGAATCTCTGTGCCTGTGGCCAAATCCGGGCCTCACAAGCCATATCTAACTTACATCAAGCTCCCGGGAGCTAGATGGATGCGAGGGGAGACCATTGGTGCAACGCTATGACCTCACAACCATCTTCTTCCATGGTTGGTTGAAATTCAGCCCTGGCTTCTGGAAACGCTGAGGTCATTAATCATGCGATATAATTGGATTCTCCCAACACAAGATTACCCACCGGGTGTTTACTCCCTGATTACTGCGAGCTGAGACGTATATAGATAATGTTAACCTTGCGACAGGTTCTAACGGTTGAAATTTTACAATCGACCATCTTCATTAGCTTACGATGCGGGTACTTAGTTCAATTGGTCTAGACTGTATTTGGGGGGGGTGGTGGTTGTTAGGATTTGCATTATACTGCAATCGCATTCACCTCCACCTCCCTTTTTTGTAAAACGAACGCATGAGTGGCCTCATATAATATACAAATAACCTTGTTTCAACATGCTATTTATCACCACCCGCTCATAATGCCGCTAGAATGCGAGTCCGAGCGGATGTGTTAATAAGTTGTGGGATCCCTCTTCTTTTGGAGCTACATCTATCTGCAGTTGCATCATGATTCTGATTATCACAATACCAACACTCCACATTGTCTGATATAGATGGTTACTGGCCGCTCAAATCCTCGCCCCCAAGCAATTATCTATTTTTAATTCAGCGGATTTGTTCTTGATTCGACGCGGCCTCACCGGAACGACCTTGCTCCCTCGACTCTATATCCAGCTCTCTTTCTGCACTACGCGGGAAACAAGCTTCATCGCCCTTTTACATCCTGTGTGATACTCGCATAGAATTGCTTCAGGTTTTACCTCAAGTGTGACTGAATATCATGCATTCGATCCTCGCCATATCGCTCGTCCTATCACTCGCCCTCTTCTCCACAGCGGCGCTAAACCCCTGCTCGTTCGCGACAAACGATATGTCTCTAACAGAAGCCCAACTGATACAAATTGCTCCGCAATCAAAATCCTGCGACGACGCTCCAGCAAAGGGAGAATGTGCTACGGCAAAGACAGCCGCCGACTCCATCTCCCAATCTTTCAATACATACAACGTCACCAATAAAGCCGAACAAGTCGCAATCCTCAGCCTGATGGCCTTTGAAAGTAACGATTTCAAGTACAACAAGAACCATTTCCCCGGTATACTGGGACAAGGCAGTAAGTTCACCCGAAACCCACTGCACTCGGCCAGACCGTGAAGAACTTTATAGTAACTTAAAATTATATAACAGCGCGCAATATGCAATCTCCCGCCTTCAATAAGAAATATGCGAAGAGCATTCCCGAGCTGAAAAGTAGATTTTATTTCGTGGAGAATATTCCCGCAGATCTACTTGACTTGTTGCGTGAGAATAAAACTTATGATTTCGGTTCTGGTGCTTGGTTCCTGACTACGTACTGCTCGAAGGAAGTGCGTTCTGCGCTACAGGATGGATCTGAGAAGGGGTGGAAAAATTATATCACAATTCGAGGAGTTTCAGGTGTGATTTGCTGTATCTGGCTCCTCGTGGAGTCAGTGATCTGGGTTTCTATCTAATAAAATTTGTTTATATGTAGTTCAAAACGAAAGAGTTGTTGAATCATACAATATCTTATCACTCTCAGCAGTCCAATTACCACGCCCTTCTCGCCTCCTCAACCTTGTCTTCCTTATGTCCATTTCCTTGGTACAGTACCCTTTAGCATAAACCTCCATTTACATTTCAACAAGGATCTTTTTCTACCATAACCCTGATAGTCAGGCTCCGGGCAACGAGTATAAACCAAAGGCGTGATTTCGGCCTTGCTGTCTCTTTCTGGGAAGCCGAGAAATCTCAAACACTTTTAAGTGGAAGTTAGATTTTTTCTATGCAGACTGCAATAGTATTTTCACAGAACACGTTGTGAAATTCAAAAGCCTTATTTCTCACCAACCAGAAAGATATGAGCCTGCTATTAGGTTAGCAGCTTCTTCATTGGGTGAGGCAATCAAAACGACACGCGTCAATTCAGATCTAATCGACGCTGGCAGGAATACCGCTGTTTCGCCACTCCGGCCTGCCAACTTGCACTAAAAATGATGTTTCTGCTATCGATATTCATTATTGCAACGATCAACAACTTGAGACGTGGACATGCAATAGTTTGGAGATGTGAGACTGGATACACAATATGGAAGCAGTCCAGGGTGCTCAGAGGCTAGGTATCTGAACAACTGGAGCAATAAGGTTTAATTTTGGAAATGATGATTTTGGTCCAAGATTACGGCTAGGTTGCTGTGATGAGAAGCTAGTGCAGATCAGGAACCAAGCCGCACCGCCAAATTTGACTCCGAGGTACAGTAGTATGTAGTCGTAAAAGTAGATTTCATTTTCACTGACCCCTCGCAAAGTTGATTTCCCAACTAGACCAAAATACGAATCCGTATCCAGCCTAGTGGGTTCTTGTTTAGAATCCAACTTTGCGAGGGGTCAGTGTAAATGAAATCTACTACTACTGTATATGAAACCCACAACTATATCTCAGTAAGTCCACATGTAGAGTTTTCGACTCTATGAACTCAGAACCTTACCAAAGCCTTTCGTGGCCTGATTAGACTTTGTCGAACTGAGGGGTGGTATTTTACCACTAAGGACAAGGTTATTCATCAAGTACCCATTCCCTCTTTGTCTCTGTATGGTAAACGGGGTACGCTCGGCATACCAGCGTTGTAACACGCTAGGAACGACTCCTGAGATCTGATAACACTTCAACAGCAAGATCCAGATAGAACAATCAATGCATCTCAATGGGACACCTCAATACTAGCACATACCAGTATCCGTCAATCCGACAGACTTTTTAAATTGTGAGGGGCAGTACTAAATCATTTGACTAGCCAGGTTAGACTCGTGTACCTCGGAATTTTGTAGAATGAAGATTCGAGCGAGCTAACTCTATAATTTTCAATCTTAGATTCACAATTATCTTGGGCTTTTAAAGTGACGGTCTTAAAATGGTCCTGAGATGAGCCAATAGCCCTGACTATTCCATCCAATTCAGACTGGTTGCTTGAGTATGTACATAAAAAGACCATCGTTTAGCAGTGACAAATGTCCCCTGGACCCAGATTACTTCCAAAGGATCCCTGTAATGCGTGGGACTCGAGCGACGCATCAGTTGAGAATATGCCCAAGGAAAGTCGGACGCTGTTGGTGTCGGTCCATGGGCTTACCTGGACCTACAGTTTGTATATTCCCAAAATCCGAGTATTTGACTTGGTCCATGGGCGCAATTCGGTTGGGGTGCCCAGATGAAATGGCCTCTTCAGATTGTCTTTGTTGGCACGCTCTTCGTACCGTCACGGATTCGTCTGTGGTGCTCTTTGAGGGCATTGGACACGTATGACCTGGCTGAGGGGCTACTGCCGACTGGAAGCCGTTAGTAAAAGTGGAATCCAATGAGCTCACTTGATTTGACTTGGCCCTGGAACGCCGGCCGCATGCGCATGAGTTGTGACAGTGTTTGAATATCCCGATATGAACCTACATCTCGCATGAGTAACTGCTTCTAATCATCTCCGATCGTTCGGTTCACTGTGCTCATGTGTCTCTTCAGATCTGATCTTCTTCCGAACGATCTGTCGCACTCCTTGCACGGGTAGTTGTACTTCCATTGAAGATTATGCATCTTTTGGTGCTCCGTGCAGTGGGAGCGTCTGTTGAACTTGATGCCACACAAGGGACACTCAAGGCCACTAGCGGAAAGGGGTTTTTAGGGTGGACTATGACTTCTTATACCTGTCCTTGGGACAGGCTCTCTGATTGTCTCACTAGGAGCAATCTGAGACTGAGCACCATCAACTTCAACGTGTACGTTTGGTCTACTGTACTGGTGCGGTTGTATCCGGTCTTCTTCCATACAATTTCTAGGTAGGATAAATTTGACGGGACAGGATCACTTTAAACAGTCATAGCGCTTGTGCAAAGAAAATCTCACTTAGGTGACAGGTCTTCATTGCTTGATCGTGCAAAGCGATTGAGAACCTTTTAACACTTACTTAGAAAAGGTGATACTGTTTATCCCCGAGATAACCCGAGATGAGCGGATGCGAAACCGTGAATTTGTGTTCGGTTCGGTGTGTTGAATGGTGGTTGTGAAAACAAAGCTGCAGGAGGCCAAAAAGGACGCAGAAACGATGGATGTCGGCTCGAGAAGCAATGTCTTCAGGGCCTGCAGAAATGGGTAGCTAAGTTATACTTGGAAAACGGTCAGCGAACGTGTAAACATCACCTACATGCTAGCCGTTGAGTTTCCTGCGGGCGCGCGCGGTTACCCGTGTTTGTAAACGACATCAACTCCGCACTACATAGCATGATGATGATGATGATGATGATGATGATGATGATGATGATGATGATGATGATGATGATGATGATGATGATGATGATGATGATGATGATGATGATGATGATGATGATGATGATGATGATGAATTCATTTGCCCGATGTAGCTCGCTCCAAATACAACTACATAGCATGACTACTCGCTTTATTCCTTCGATTAAAAGAGCATAAAAAAAGCTTAAGTCTGCTCTGTTGCTTATTCCTGGAAGTCTATAACTTCCGTGTCCGTGTATGTGATCGTACAATACAGCCCCCTTTGGTAGTGATGAAAGATCGAAAGCATTTTTCCCGTGCCCGGGCACTCACGCGAGAGCTAGAGCGGGCACTGGATAACTTTCAACCAGCCCTTGCCTCAACCACATCGCGAGCCATGCCGGCGGCTGGTGTCCTTGGACCCGCGTTCGAATGTGACCATGCCCGGAGGTCGACTGCCCCATCTCCAGAGATGATGTCTACTCAGGATCTCAATCAAGACAAGGGTGATTCAGAATATTCAAAATCTGGTAGGTCAATCCGGCAAGCATTGTGCATCATTTCACTATGTATTTATTTTGACTATTCTTCTTGACAACAGATGCACGGGATGGTGGACAACCCTCATTGGCGGATTCTGTCGACGAGGCTGCGGAATGGCTCGAGCAATTTTGTCGTGTGTGAGTTGTAGAAGGGGTGGGCAGGGCCAATGAGATACAGTACTGGGGATTATGTACTCTGCCATGCTACCAACGTTGGGCTCGTGCGGTATCGAATTTACAGAGAGAGAGGAGACTGTCGGTAGCGACCAGATGACCTTGGAGCTCTTCGATACGAGAACTCAATCCAACACATCAAACGAAAAAATACATTTTTGCGTTGGTCGTAGCCTTGAATCGTGCTTCTATTTGGCCTTCAGAATGTCATCCTGATGTCGCTTTGTCTCCGACTTCGAAACACCACAGTGGCCGGCGTTCCAGGAAAGAATCCAGTGCGTTGTATGGATGCCGCGGGAGACGATAGCGCTTTTTTTTAATACATACTGTATTGACTTTTCATCTGCGTATACGTTACATCCTCACACCGCGACCTTTGGCTCTCAGGCCCATCTACGAGTTCCTGGGAGTATCAGCCCTGGGAATGCGCATCTTGACCCCAGCAGTGTCAGGGATATACATGGAGTATACAGGATGTTTGAAGAAATGATCTGCGGGACCCCACATGGTTCATATGGGTTCCCCTAAACGCGAGGAAGCCTGTTCCTTTTGCTTCCTCGCGCTACGTCTTGTATCTAGAGTCGACTATAGCTTTCCTTAATGTTGATTATTCATCTACGTATACGTGAGACCCTCACAACGAGGTTGTTAATTCTCGGGAGCTGTGGTCACATTTTATAGGAATATGCATGAAGTCGCGAATGAAACCCCGCGTAGATGAATCTAGGTTCATAGTACGGCCCGTATCGATGGCCTCAGATGATGTCAGCTTCGAATATGAGACGCTGAGTATGAGGTATGGAATACAACTGTACGTGAGATATCAATCCCACGGGCTTTCATCAGCAAAGCCACGTATATAGAATTATTTACATCAAGTGATCTCTTAGCTTCTTGCCCATGTCATATCAATTTCTTGTTTCAAATTCCCAGCCTTTTTCGAACTGGCCCGACCACAGATCCTGAACCTCATCGCGGGTATCCTCGGTGACGTCTTCCCATTCTCCGTCCATCACTTCTAGCATACCAGCGTCTACAATGTCAAACTCATGACCAGCCCAGTCGCCCTTGGTCAGATATTCTCCTCCCGGAATGCCGGTTGAGCTTTCTGACGACCAAGAGATACGCATCAGAACAATGTGGCCGAGGGTGATTCCACATTGCAACTTTGCCTCTAACACATATTGACTGGTGGTCAAGTTCCTCAAGACTCGATTTTTGCGATTGACAGATTCTTGTGTGGCCGAGGGAGTCGCCGTCTCCTCTTCTTCGTAAGACCATTGTTCAAAGTCTTCCTGAACGACACCGTAGCTGAGAGATTTTGGTGTTACATCGCTCTCAGCGTAGATGTGTAGGTCGTCTTGTTGAATCGAGGCAGGGAGATCGGTCGGATTTAAGTAATCCCCAATACAGATGAGTCGATTGCCAGCCCACTCGTTTTCAATCAGGTCACACAGAATGTTGGGCCACGACGAAAAAAGCAACTCTGACAGCTTTCCGCCAAAATCCTGCGTTGTGTACTCGCGTCTGGATGGAGAAACCACCAGCCAGTATTGGCCCATCGTTTGTTTCTTCAAATAAAGGATAGAACGAATCTCTAGATTGTGGAGTGGGTCCGTTACTGTAGAAGTTGAGAGCAAAGCTGAATGCTCCGGAAAGGTGCGGTTAGAGGCAGCGGAAGGCGGTATTTGTGGATTGGATGAATTGTAATTTGGCCGGTCTGGTGAAGCGCTTCCTTGACCTTTATATGTTGAACGCACTCCAGTTGTAACTTTCACTAAATAGCTCCTAGGAATGCCATAGAAATCTCCCGTATTCAGCCCGTCGGTCGCGTAGATCATATGTGACATTTCATGGATGCATGAGTTTGACGTCTACGCCATTTGGCCAAAAATTCACAATGTTTGGCCAGCGACCAACTACCGAAGCCACTATACATGCTTGAACTCTGACACATACTTGTGAGCTCCCTATGTTTTCTTAAACCGACACTTGTTGTAATGGCATGGGGCTGATTAAGCAGCCAGTGGTATTGTCTAGGAGGCTCGTGTATGTCAGGAATAAAGCCATGCCATCTTTTAAAATAGTCCCGAGATGTCTATACAGTCAACCATGTTGATTTCCAATTAACTTGGCTTCTTGTTGTACCTAAAGCTTCATCTTTCTCTCTAGAACAGAATAACAAAATCTATACCTCTGAACTGTAATAATCACCTGCAAGTCATTAATAGGAGGCACTTCACCACTGACCATCAATACTGCGAGATTGATCACCAGCACCATCATTGAATGGACTGCTGACAAAGTGCAATTGACCTCTATGGTGAGAGTGAGAATGAATACATCAATTTTTTAAATACTATTGCGAAATTCATGGGGCAGCATCAAAGCATGGAGAACGTCTACTCCGGGTAAGAAAATCTCTGGAGCATAACTTCTGGGGACATTAAACCGATTCCTCGTATCGTGTCAGTGGCCCCTGGAGCCCGAATCTATCTTGGTACTCAACTCTCGCATCTAGCGCCATAAGTATTGAAGGAAATCACAACCTACCTGTACGCCGAAATGTATAGAGGCAAATCTCAATTTTGCCAAAGATGCTTCTTATCCCAATAACGACCCTCTCTACCAATGCATAGTTACCGTAACATACAGCGACAGGTGCAGCGACAGGTGCAGCTAATTGCAGCGGTGATCTAGAATGGTATCCCTTCTCGCCGGGCTGATCGGCCTATATTAGTACATACTGCATCCTGATGCATTCTTCGACGCATTGACAGTTTCAAGAAAGCATTCCATGCCAGCAGCCATGCAGACATGTAGGCAAGGAGCCTACGGGGATGGCATATAAAGCTGGCGAGGGAACGCCGCCAATAACGCCAACAACCCAAAGAATTTCTAACTTTGAAGGTCGCATCAATGTCCACCACGCTACCTTGGAATCCGTTTCTTGTTAAAACGACGTACAGGCTTTGGCACGTCGTGCTGTGTGTGGTAAGTATAGCTGATCTCAATTCTGCAATGTCGGGATGCTGATGAATGCAGTCGAAACGAAGGAAGTTTAGACGCCTTGATTCGTCCAATCCGAGTCCCCTCGGCAAGCGAACCATCAGCCAATAGAGAGACTGTCACCGTCAGGAATTCAGCACCAAACGAACCTCGTCAGAATCAGCTGCCTCAGCGATCAATGGGATCCCCACGGGTGTCAGTGTTGTGATATGAGGCTGGTGCAGATCAGGAACCAAGCCGCACCGTCGGAATTAGCTCCGAAGTGTCTATACAGACGACCAAGTTGATTGGAAATCAACTTGGCTAATTGTTGTATATATAGGCTCATGTATCCCTCTGAGATAACAAGTCAATCCATACCTCTGAACAACAACACACCTGGCAAGGGGCTTACGTCATTTGGAAGGCCGCCAGTATTGGACTGCGAGGTGTCCAAGGACTGCGGGTTGACAGCCTCGAGTGAGCGACCGAGCTTACTGCAAATCAGCTGGTAAAGTCTGGTCGAGCCACTGCTTAGACTTGATTTGAGCAAATCGACATTCGTTCCCGCGACGGACCAAGCGTATCCATCTTCAGGCCGCGGTTGAAGGCGGACTTTCTCAGGAGGGACAACGAGGCGAAGTCGGTCATCTAGGAACATTAGCCGGGTTGGTAGGCAAAATAGGATTACAAATACATATATGAGCCGCCAGGGCTTCTCGACATTGCTTTCTTAGTTTGAAACGCTTTTCGTTGCTGCTTTTAGACATTGTAGTGTACCTTTGGTATCTACGAAATTAAGGGAGAGATCCCGCGGGTATTTATGTTTAAGCAACCGACTTCTTGCTCGACTGGCTCGGTGTAGGATCGATGATTCGTTCTTTGCACAGGTAGAAAGTGATGCCCATGGGTAGGTCGCCCCACTTTCCGAGTTGTCGATTCCTATTGGATGAGATCAAAGTTTGTGATGAACCTGGATTAGTTGAGAATCGGTTGAAAGTTGTTAGGCAAAAATGGGGCGCCCCATGTCGTGGACACAGTCAAAATGATATGTGAGGTGCAGGACGATTCAGGCCCTCCAACAGAATTCCAGTAAGACTTTTCACCTACCTAGGCCTCATGAACTAGACGCGTGAACAAAACACAACACAACCGCGACCCTCAATTTCTGCTAAGCACTGCTGTCATAGCAACGTGGTAGCAAAGTACAGGAGTCTATTTATTTAGGTCCCCTTCACGCTGCCACGCATTTCTGCTTTCCAGGGTGCCGGCGGAACCCATAGTGACTTGATGGGGGGTTAAAAACTGATGTAAAGACTGTCAGGCTCGCTAACAACGTTGTCAAAACATTCAGCAAGACATCTGAGATATATAAAGTGCAGGGTCAAGTCGACTCCATGTTTTCCTTGACACCTTTCTGTTCAGATGACAAACACTGCAACAGCTCGCCTCCGTCACCAAAGATCGGCGAACGCCTGCGACCTGGAGCCATTATTGTGTAACTCCTCAAAGCTTCCACTGTCAAAGATGAACACTCGTCGTGATGCACATGCTACTCGCAGCATTCGCGCTAGCTCGCCGAACCCATCTTCTTCGCTGCGAGCCAACAAAATCCTTCGAGTAAGGATTTATCATCGATCTCACGGCTCGCATGTTACCCTCTCAGCAGGACAGCCTGGTAAACCCCAAATAGCGGGTGCCAAACAAGGCTCACGCCACAAGCCAGCGATTTCCGAGCGAGAGGCAACTCGACTGGATTGGATGCGACGACTTCGTCCCAAGCCCCATAGACGTTGTTAGGTCAGGCAAATACAGGGCACGCATGAAGACCCAGAGTAGCATATCGCAGTCTCTACTTTTGTTCATGTATCGTTAAATACATGAAACCCTCTAGCAAGAGAAAAAGTCTGAAATAGGTCTACCGTGCACGATAGGTTAGCCCGTCAAGATGGACTTTCTTTTAAGAAGCTTATCCTGCCAATCATTCTATCGATTAGTATAAAAGGTAGATCTGAATTAATTGCACTAAGTTGTTCTTTTTGATTGTTTCTCGAACGCTCTTTTAAGTCAGTCAAAATAAACCTTGAGCATAGGCCCTTTCCTATTCGACAGTTTAAGATGATCTAGGCAAGGCGTAGATTGAAATGGGTCTGGCCAAGATTCAAGAAAACCCAAAAAAATAAAGTGGTGGAAGTGATTTCGAGCGGACCTGTACATAAAAATGACAGCTGGTCAGAGGATCCTTGCTCTGTTTTTGTAGCTCATTTTGTAGACAGTTGCATGTGGAAAATGAAACGTTTCGGAGATTGGGGACAACAAGGAGTTGTCAAAAGAAGTACATTGCGATCTGAATGCATGGTTCTGAAAGGGTAAACATCTATTTACAACTTGATTAACAAGGGATCACACTATATACAATCAAGCGCCTTCAAGCAGTAAGCACTCTATGGTATATCTCCTATCATGGACAATCAGATTGTAATTTACTTTAGCTAATTAGAAGGCTGGCTTTCAAATTATCCTCGAGTCTCCTTGACCGACTTCTTTTCATTTAGGCAGGCATCCATAGAATTCTGTTTTGAAAGCCTTGCCTGAGTCACCCTGCCCATGACGTCAAATTGGCGCGAATAATTTGGAGGCACCCAAAGATACTTCTCAGTGGCTCACTTGGTTAACTGCAAAGAAGATACCAAGACAAGGACCAGCTCGACCTGCTGAGTGTCAGTATTGTTGGTAAAATAGGAATGATTGTGATTACCTCCAGTGCGAGCATCCATGTATGACCTAGCATGCCTATTATGGCAACCACAAGCAAAAGAAGTGCTACTACGGAGAGGTAACACGAGATACACCGCAGCTGAGCTCGGCCCAGAGTTGACTGTCGAAACAACCACCAATACCATGCAGCTATACCCAGGTAATCCACAGAGAGAATAAAGAGACCGCCCAGATGAACAGAGCTCAGGACAAAAGTTCCAACGAGAGAGAATGCCACCTTAGCCAGCGTGGAAAGTGCAGCAAAAAAAGGGTACATGGTGCGCAGTAATCGAGGCGTGTTTGGGTATTTCCGCTGCTGGAAGATTATAGGGAGGTACTATGGCATGATTAGCCTAAAGTGAGACCCACCATAATCTAGTTCCATGTACTGTCAACCTACTGCATGTAGCGGCGGAAATATTGAAGTAACCCAGAAGTGCACTTCGCCCCATGCTGGAAACCTGTTGCTCCAGAACAATCCAGTGAGAAGAGCGAAGAAAACACAAGGCAAGGCACACAAAGCTAAATTGGTTTTGTGCCACGGCCAATCTAAGGGAAATCGATATGAGATAAATAGTCTTCCAAGGCTGAGAACAAGAATAACGGTCATTAGAACGGACCTAATGATATTTTCTGAAATCATGGCCATGATTGAATGCAGCCCATGCGTTTTTTGACTGAGCATTGGAAGCTTAAAGACTCCATCAGAGACATAATATATAATTAATACTATGTAACTCATCTGATTCTGAAACTTTCTTGATGGATAGCATACTCAATTTCCTGCCTAAACAAAACAGCTGGCCTCAACCTTATG